CCGGGACCCCCCCCCCCCAAAAAAAACCCCCCCCCCCCCCCCCCCCCCCCCCCACCCACGGCGTCCGGTGCCCCCGGCCCGCCCCGTCCGGCGCTGGTTCCTTTTCCTTTGTCCCGGTGACAATGTCCCGGCTCCGCCTTCCCGGGGCCGCCTCAGCCAGCGCGGGGAACCGCCGGACCCCCGGGAGCCCAGAGCGGCCGGGCCGCCCCCTGCCCCCCCCCGGGGACACCGCCGGACGCCGCTTCCTCCCCCCCCCGGGCCGCGGGGGCTCCGGCGGGACCAGGCGGGGACGGGACGGGGCGCGGGGGGCCCCGGGGGACGGGACGGGGCGGAGGGGATCGAGGACAGGGAGGGACGGGACCGGGGAGGGGGAGGGAGGGACTCTGGGGCCCGCAGGGGGTTGTTGGGGCCGGGGAGGGGGCGTAGGGACCCCCGGGGACCTGTCGGGACCCGTTGGAGCCGCCGGGATCGTCGGGATCCGCGGGGACCTGGAGAGGCTCTGAGGAGCCGCAGGAGCAGCAGGGACCAAAGGGACCCTCGGGGACCTTCAGGGACCCCCAGGGATCCACTGACACCCCCAGGGATCCTGTGGGACCCCCAGGGATCCATTGGGACCCCCCAGGATCTCTCAGGTGCTCGAAGAACCCGCAGGGACCCCAGGCAGCTCAAGGGACCTATAGGAGCTATAAGGGACCACAGGGACTGAGTGAAGGTGTGGGGACCCCCCAGGAGCCATCGGGACCCCCAGAGACCCCATAGCCCCCCACTAACCCCCCATAACCTCCCCCACCCCGGGGGCTGCATCGGGACCCCCAGATCTGTCAGACCTCGCACCTGTAGGGCTCAGGTGACCCCAGTGACCCCAGGACATAAACGGACCCCATGGGAGCCCCCGGGCACCCATAGGACCCCCCCCCAACCCGGGCACCCATAGGACCCCTCTGAGCACCGAGGACCCCCCAGCCCCTCTCACAGCACCCCCAAACCCCCCCAGCGCCATCGCTGGGGGCCGGGGCTGGGGGGGGGAGCACCCCATGGAGTGGGGCCGAGCATCCCCCTCCCCATCCCCCCCGGCGGGGTCCCACTCCCCCTCACCCCCCCTTTCCCCATCGCCCCCCCTGTCCCCCCTTTTCCCAGAAAGGTCCCGCTCCCCTTTCCCCCTCTCCCCAAGGGGGTCCCGCTCCCCTTTCCCCCCCTCCCCAAGGGGGTCCCGCTCCCCTTCCCCATCCCCGGCCGCCTCCCGTTCCCCATCCCCGGGGGGGTCCCGCTCTCCTTCCCCCCCATCCCCGGGGGGCTCCCGCTCCCCATCGCCCCCGGGGGGTTGGGAGCCGGCCCGGGCAGCGTTCGGGGAGCTGCGGCTGGAGGAGGTGATCGGGGCCGGGGGCTTCGGCCGCGTGTTCCGGGGCACGTGGCGGGGCCAGGTGGTGGCGGTGAAGGCGGCGCGGGGGGACGCGGGGGCGGCGGGGGCCGCCAGCCTGCGGAGGGAGGCGCGGCTCTACGCCCGCCTGCGACACCCCAACGTGGTGGCACTGCGGGCCGTGTGCCTGGAGCCCCCACACCTGTGCCTGGTGATGGAGTTTGCGGCGGGGGGGCCGCTCTCCAGAGCCCTGGCCGGCCGAAGGGTCCCCCCCGCCGTCCTGCTGGACTGGGCTCGCCAAGTGGCGAGGGGGATGCGGTACCTGCACTCCGGGACCCCCGTGCCCCTCATCCACCGCGACCTCAAGTCCAGTAATGGTGAGATTGGGTGGGGGGTAGGGGTCTGGGATTGATGGGGGGGGTCCTAAATAGTGAGATCCGGGGGTCCTCAGGGTGAGGGGTCAGTCGCCAAAATGCCCAGAGTGGGGGGTCCAAGGTTTTGGGATGCCCAGGGTGACAATGAGGTCGCCACGGTGGCTGGGGGGTCACAGAGGTCGGGGGCTCCAGGTTGGGGTCTCAGTCCCCAGAGTCCCCAGGGTTGGGGTCGCGGACATTGGGGTGTGCCCAGGATGGGGGTCGCGGTCATTGGGGTGCCCAGGGTGGGGGATGTGGGAGCCCAGAGGGACCCAGGATGGGTGTCCTGGACTGGGATCCCCAAACTGGGAGTCGCTGGTTGCTCACCGGTGTCCCCAGGGTGGGGGGTCCCGGCAGGGCAGGGGGTGTGGAGCTTTCCCAGGGCCAGGAGACCCCAGATGTTGGGGGGTCGCTGTTTGGGGGGTGACCGTGACCCCGTGCCCTCGCAGTGCTGCTGGCACAGCCCGTGGTGGGGGACGATGTGAGCGGGAAAACGCTGAAAATCACGGATTTCGGGCTGGCCCGGGAGTGGCAGCGAACCACCAAGATGAGCGCGGCCGGCACCTACGCCTGGATGGCCCCCGAGGTCATCCGAGCTTCCACCTTCTCCAAGGGCAGCGACGTCTGGAGGTGGGGAGGGGGTCCTGGGGGTCCTGGCAGGGAGGGGACTCTGCGCTGGGGTTTGCGGTTTGGGGTTTGGGGTTTGGGGGGTGCTCAAACCCCAGGGTGGAGGATTTGGGGTTTACCTGCACTGGATTTGGGGTGTCGGGGTTTGGGGTTTGGGGGGTGCTCAAACCCCAGGGTGGAGGATTTGGGGTTTACCTGCACTTGGTGGGGTCAGGTTTGGGAGGTGTCCGGGTGCCTTATGGAGCACCTGGACACTTTGGGGGGGCTGGGGGGGTCTGACCCCCGTCCTCCTGCCCCCCCTAAAGTTACGGGGTGCTGCTGTGGGAGCTGCTGACCGGGGAGGTTCCGTACCGGGGCATCGACGGCCTGGCCGTGGCTTACGGGGTGGCCGTGAACAAACTGACCCTGCCCATCCCGTCCACCTGCCCGCCGCCCTTCGCCCAGCTCATGGCAGGTACGGGGCTCCGGGGGGCTCACAGGCCTGGGGGGGGCTCTTTTGGGGGTGCCCAGAGCCTTGGCTTGCTGAGGAGGGGGTTGGGGATGTTGGGGTCCCCCAGGAAGCCCCCCCAGACCCGCCCCCGGTTCTCCCTGCAGCCTGCTGGGAGCAGGACCCCCACCGGCGGCCGGGCTTTGGGACCATCCTGCGGCGCCTGGGGGGGCTGGAGCCGGCGGGGCTGGGGCCCCCCGAGTCCTTCCACTCCCTGCAGGAGTCCTGGCGCCGAGAGATCCAGGGGCTGTTCGACGAGCTGAGGGCGCGGGAGAAGGTGGGACCACCCCCCAAAAAAACCTGAGACATCCCCTCAAACACCTGGGACACCCCCAGACTCCTGTGACACCCCTCTGAGCACCCGGGACCCCCCCAAACACCTGGGCCCCCCAATGCTTGGGACCCTCCCCAACACCTGGGACCACCCCACACCCTCAAGGCCTCCCTTGGACCCCTTCAACAATTGGGGGGGGGAACCGTCCCAGCACCCCCCAACCCCCCCTGGCACCTCCAAACTCCCCTCCAGTGGCCCTGCCCTGCCCTGCTGTCACTCCTGTCCCCCCGTGACCCCTCTGTCCCCGTGTCCCCCGTGACCCCCCTGACCCCCCGTCCCCCCCCATCCCCCGTGTCCCCCCAGGAGCTGCGCAGCCGGGAGGAGGCCGTGGCCAGAGCCTCCCGAGCCCAGCGCTCCCAGGCCGAGGCTCTGCGGCAGCGCGAAGCCGCCGTGGCCCGCAGGGAGCTGGAGGTGCTGGAGAGGGAGCTCAGCCTCCTGCTCCGGGGACCCCCCCGACCGCCCCCGGCCCCCAAGAGACGCCGACCCCCCTTCCGGAGGCCACGGAAGCCAGCGGATCTCATTGGGATGCCCCAGGGTGGGGAAATGGGGCTGGGGGCTTTGGGGGAGATCCTAAAAGAGGGGATGGGGGGGATTTTGGGGGGGGTTGGGGGAGCAGGGGGTGTTTTAGGCTTTGGGGGTCCTGAAGGATTTGGGGTGGTCTTGGAGGAGCAGAGGGTGTTGGGGGCTTTGGGGGTCCAGGGGATTTGGGGGTCCTGAGTGGGTCAGGGAGCTGGGAGCACTTTGGGGGTCGGGGGATTTCGGTGGGCTGGGGAGTGTCTGGGTAACCCACCGGGTTTTTTTGAGGGATTTTTGGGGCTCTCCTGACCCCGACACTCCCCCCCTCCCCAGATTTCAAGCACCGCCTGACGGTCCAGGCATCACCCGGGGGGGACCCCCGGAGCCACGACCCCGAGGATGGCCCGGGGGAATCCCCCCCCTTCCCCCGCCTGCGCGCCATCCAGCGTGAGTGACGTCATGGGCGAGGGGAGGGGGGGGGCGGTGACATCACACCGGGGGTGACACCCCGAGGTGACACCGAGTCCCCCCCACCCCCCACTCTGTGTCCCCAGTGGAGCCCGAGGAGGAGGAGGAGCCGCCGCGGGGCCGGGGGGGCCGGGGCAGTGCCCTCAATGGCAGGTGTGTCCCACCCCCCCCCGTGGGGGTCTGGGGGGAGGGATTCAGGTGTGTCCCACCCCCCGTGGGGGTCTGGGGGGGGGGTTAGGGGTGTCCCACCCCCCCTCCCCGGACACCAGACCCCCCCTGGACTCTCGGGTGTCCCCCCCAGGCGGCGCCTGCGGCCGGACGAGACCACCTGGTACCTGGACACGGACGAGCTCAGCCCGGGGGACGCGTCCCCCAACGGTGGGTCTGGGGGGGGGGGCTCAGGGTTTTGAGGAGGGGGGGGGTCCCATCCCGCTGTCCCCCTCCCCACACTGACCCCGCTGTGTCCCACAGGCGAGGCCGGGCCCCCGGAGGCCGAGGAGGGTCGGGGGTCTCGGGGAGGGACCCCCCGGCTGCTGCGGCGGGCGCTGCTGAAGGGCTCGGCCCTTCTGGCGTCGCTGGGGCTGGGCCGGGACCTGGCCCCCCCCGAGTCCCCCCGGAGCCCCCCGCCCTCCCCCGGCCTCCTGCGCCTCTCCCCGCGCCGCTGGGAGCGCACCCTGGGGTCCCCAGAGTCACCCGGGACCCCCGAGATGGGTCGTGCCTGGACCCCCGGGACCCCTGAGCCGAGCCAAGCCCGGACCCCCGGATCTCCCGATCCCAGCGGAGTCCGGACCCCCGGGACCCCCAGGACCCCCGGGACCCCCGAGCAGGGGCGAGCCCAGACCCCCGGGTCCCCAGATCCGAGCGGAGTCCGGACCCCCGGGACCCCCAGGATCCCCGGGACCCCCGAGCAGGGGCGAGCCCGGACCCCCAAGACCCTGGAGCTGAATTGGTCCTGGACCCCCGAGCAAGGGGGAGCCAGGACCCCCGGGACCCCCGGGACCCCCGAGCAGGGCCGAGCCCGGACCCCCGGGACCCCCGGGACCCCTGAGCCACGTCGTGCCCGGACCCCCGGGACCCCCGAGCTGGGGCTGCAGCCTTCGCCCCGGGGGGCGCGGAGACCCCGAGAGCTGAGCCCAGCTGGGACCCCCGAGTGGGGTAAGAGGGACTGGGGCTGAGGGGCGGTTTGGGGGTCGTGGGGCAGCTTTGGGTGGTCGTGGGACAGTTCTGGGGGGTAATGAGGGAGTTTTGGGGGGTCGTGGGGCAGTTCTGGGGGGTCACAGGGCAGTTCTGGAGGGACATGGGGCATTTTTGGGG